GACGTGGCATGTTCGTACGAACTCTTCATACGAACAAAAGTAAGAGAAATTTAGGATAAGAATACGAACATGTTCTTGCATGAGGCCCATTCATCCCAAAGGTGTTCTAGTGAGTTGAGGTCAGGACCCTGTCAAGTTCATCCTCACCAGACTCTGCCATCCATGTCTTTATGGATCTTGCTTTGTGCACTGGAGCACAGTCATTTGGATGGGTGAGCAAATACTTTTGGCAAYAWAGTGTACATAGACACAAKGAAGTTCTTTCCAACCATTTTTGTACTTCTCCATCATCATCCTCAAAGCAAATATGGTGTCTATGGTGCACTTTCTTGGCATGAAACCATACTGCTGCTCACACTAATAGTCACCTCTTGTCTAAATCTTACTTCCACAGCTCTCTCCCAGATCTTCATCATGTGGCTACAACTCTGTACATCACCCTTCTTAAAAAAAATTGGCACCAGCACACTATAATGTTTGTAATAATCCAAGATGACAAAATGCCAACATTTTCATGCATAAACTTCCTGGTTGAAATATCGGTTTAGTTGTACATTTTTTGTGTAAAATATTTAGAACCTGCAGAAAAAGGAGTGAATCAAACGTTGTGACAGTAATAAACACACAGTACCTCAGATCTGATAGTACATCACATAAATCTGAACTCAGGTGGTTTTCATAAAACACTCCTTATTATCACTGTAAAAACTGTGAGCATGTAAATGTTTTCAGTCCTAGATTTGGATTTGTTTATAATCTTTTATCTTTGTAATAGCGGGGATAAAAGTTCAAATCTTTCGGAATGCTTGGTTCAATGTTACAAACTGCAAATACAGAAAGTTTTAACTGGGAATGTGACATCTGAAGCGCTGCAGTCGTTCAGTGAAGATGACAGGAATGACCATAACCTCAAATTTTACACACCGTAAATGTCAACCTCTGTCCCACAAAAGGTGTCTGACCTTTYCCACTAATGAAGATGGAAACCCAGGAGGTGATTGTTTGTATGAAACATTACAGTACAGAGTCTCAAACAGGTTCTTGTCTTTTTTTTTTCTTATATACCTAAATCTTCCAGCACTAGTCTGCTGCAACTTATCGTAAAGGCTTTAATTTTCCCAACATAAGTCAGTTAATCTCATCCTTAAGGTTTATTTTAACTTTTCTTTTTCGTCAAAAAGTGATACATCCATCAGTATTTATGAACAATGCCCAATAAATCAAAACTAACATGCAGTTGTTGATCAAATGTGGATATTTTTCTTCAGCTGCTCCAAAAAATTAGGTGTTTAACATTTTCTTTCACGTCTTGTGTTTTTCAAACGAAGCTGTAAAGCTTCAGGGTTGTTTTTCTTCTTTTTAAATCCCCCTGACAGCAGCATCCCACTGATCTTCAGAATGTGTGCCTGGCAATGAGTTTAAGGCAGTGGTTCCCAAACTTTTCAGCTTTTGACCCACAAAATGCCAGCAGCAGAGACCTGTGACCCCAGCTGTTGTTGGTTGATGAACATTGGTTTCACGTCAAACAAACAAGAGCATAATAACATTATTTATTACTCTCTTTTTGTCCATTTTAAGTACACTAACTTTACTCATTTGTAACAACAAAGGCAAAAAATTATTGATAGTTGTAATTTTTAGTGTAATTAATTCAGAAAATCTTTTCAGGACCCCACCTTGATGTTTCGGGACCCCACTGTGGGTCCCGACCCCAACTTTGGGAACCACTGGTTTAAGGTATATTTTTGAATTCTTTTTCAAATGTGGTCTTTTCTGACACCTACAGGTGACACTTGTTATTACAGCACTTCTCGTGGCTACGATGCGTCTGAGTTACACACGTGTTCAGTTGCTTGTTAATACAAATATTTAATCAACCAATCAGATTGCAGCGACTCAGTGCCTTTGAGGATGAGTGAAGTTCAAGCCGAGCATCAGAAATGGGGGAGTTTGGTTCCTCGCACTTGATGGGTCCAAAAATGTCTTCCACAGAGAGAGAATAGAAGGTACCAGTACGTTTATCATTTTATTTGCATGTCACATGGTGATCCATATTTGCCCCAACATCTCAAGTCACATTCAAATACAGAGCACTGAATTCAAACATCTTTATTTTGTTAACAGTTTCTCATACAGTTTACCTTTAATACATTTTTTCTCTTACTTTTTTAGAAACTGACTGCAAATAAAATAGAAAACAATGGGACACGACTGCATCATAATCCACGACTTAATCTCAATTTTTTTTCCCATTATGGAAAGGAAATGTTCCGGTTTCTTTTTTAAATGTATGAACGTGATTCGAATCGCTGACTTTACACCAATCTAATGTAAAAACTTGAGTTCATTATATACACAGGAGGGAGGCGAAGAAAGAGGAATCGAAACTTAAGATCAGAGGGTTACCTTGTTAAACATCACGAAAAAAAGAAAAAGGAGACTGTTAGCTTCAGGGAGCCAACCTCTCGAGCCTCACACGGACGTCGTTTCGGTTACAGCGGGCTGAGAAAAAAAGCACACGCCACACACATGAGCAGGTTCTGTACAGAGGAGCGAGGGCGAGGCTTTGAGGCAATGCTTTGTAGTAAACTAGATCTTTCTGCCTGTCTGCAGCGGGCTGCTGCTGTGTCCGTAGGCTGGCTGTAGGTCTGCATGAGGAATGGAAGGACAGCTTCTCATCTGCTTTATGAAAAAGGCAGAGAACGCCATGGCTTTTTCTTTTTTTTTTTACATCTGGTATTTCAGTACAAAAGTCTGTGCTTTTTACCAGCACAGGTGCAGTGGTGAGCTCAGCATGTAGTCACCAGTTTGATGGACACTGAATCGGTTTTACCCATACACCTTGGTTTTTCTTACAGTTTCTGTTACGCAGTGATCATGCATTCCAGTGCTAAATGAGATGTCATGGTCTCTGTCAGCAAAACTAGAACCAAGTAAAGAAGAAAGAAAAACGAATGTTCATATTTGTTCAACCCTCCTGCTGCCCTTGGGTCAAAATGATCCATAAGGGCCCCAGAAGGGTCACCCTGGCTCTGCCTGGAGTCTTTTTCTTTTTAACATTTTAGCAGAAGGAACCCACAGGCAAACTGCTCTCATGAGGACACATTTCACAACTTTTCTCCCTTTAACAAGAATACAGCTGCTGCTGCTGTTACTGTCAAAATATGGGTTACCAAAAAATATGTCACATTAAAATCCATAAACAAAAGATGTAAAACGAGAGCATAAACCCAACATTGTTTTTTTTTTTTTCATCTCCAAACCCGGATCTTTGTCGGAAACATATCGGCTGTGATCGACAGAGCTGATGGTGACGGCACAGGGCTTCAACCTCAGAGGCATTTTTAAATAAAAAACACAAGGAACACGTCTTTTAAAGGAATCCTTCAGACATTTTGAAGCAATATGAATAAGTTTAGTTGAGGGGTGTTTGAAAACAAATGGAAACAAATCTAATCTCCAAAAATTTTGGATTATTTCAAGTGAACACTTTTTAAAAACTTTTACATGACAATATCATTTCAGCATGACATTTCTATCAAAGGCTGCACTAGACGTTTGCCAGCTGGCTGCTTGTATTTGTTCTTACATAGAACTTGTACATAGATGTACATATAACCACAGTATTTTGCAAAAATGAAATATAAAACTAACGATGTATAAAGGTTTAAAAAGTATTCACTTTTAAAAAAGCAAACTTTAGATATAAGTGTTTTAGGATAACAGCAGTCTCGGCCTTCAGACTGACTATTWATGAACTGTTTCCATAAACTGAGGATAATGAAAACAGTACTTGCAACGGGTTTATTTTAACTGTGCATAACTTTTATTTGGCGAAATTCCACTTGGAAATGTCTGAATGATTCCCGTATCATTTGACAGTGTTAGCAATAATTACATGTACTTAAAACAAACTGTACGTTCTATTTGAGAAGCAAAAATGTTGATGAGCTGAACACAGAAGACCAYGAAAAGGCAGCAAACAGTTCATCAGGTTGACTACCTTCTCCTCTTTGCAGGCTGTGAAATCCTGAGCCTCAGATTAGTTTTACAGAAAAAAAATCAGCTGCATTTTTAGTAAAACTTTTGAAAATTTTGTTTGGGCACTTTTCATTACTTTAGCTATTATTAGATCACTGAGACAAATCCCATTCAGTTTTCATTTAGTTTCTGTTCTGATAATCAATTTTAGCTGTTTGAAAAAAGCATTACAGCCTTTTTTTAATGTAAAATCAACAAGCACGTGTCAGCTCAAGGACTGGTCCAACAACGACAGCACAGAACTATTTTGTTTTTTCATTAAAAATGGTTTTAGGTGACAAAGCAGATTTGCCGATTTAARGCCACAAAAGTTGTCAAAATACACATTTTCTCATATTTATTAGAATTTTTATGGCTTTTAAAACAGTTTTTACATCAATAATAGTTTAATATTAATATAGTGTAATCCAAATAAGTTTGAACTCATTTGGATTTTTCTAACAGCAAATAATTCTTGTTTTTGTTTACAACTAATTTGGGTAGATTTGAATATTTCAGCACAGCTCATTTATCATCTTAGCCCTAACTTTTGCTTTAACTCTCCAACGCAATTTCTTTCACCAATAAAACTCTGTCGACTCATCCTTACAGATTTTAATCCCTTTTTCTTCAGAAAACGAGAGAACTTTAATTTTTCACTTTCAAACCAGCGTCTCCAATTCCATCTTTCTCCCTCTGACTTTATTCACACTCAAGGAAAATTTTGTTGATGTAAGCAAACAACTCGCAATTGTCGCAATTAAAACCTGACTGTACTGATTATGCTGATTAATTTCTATATTATGCATTTTGGTAGTGAATAATGTATATTTTAGTTATCATAGAAGAACAAAAATTGAAATCAAAAACACTTAATATGACATATTTTGACAGGTATGACTTTAAATTCTACAAACCTCAACAGATTGATAGCCTTTTTAGAAAAATCAACATATCAAATTAGTATTTTCCTATTGAGGGAGTTGTGATGTAAATATACACTGTAAATGCTGATAAATCAACAAGGTAAAAACAGAAACAACTCAATATAAATATAATAATATKGTTCTGTAATATAATATTATAATGTTCTGTACCATTTTAAGACACATACCTTCGAGTAAAAAACAAAATCCACTCTTTGTTCTTATAAATATTTTGTTTCCAAATCCAAGCTGTGAACAGACTGGTCCTAACTGAACTAAAAGCACGCATGGCGACGACGCTCTCTGCTCCTCGATGTTCTGGCAGAGCTCGTCAGTGACGATTACAAAGCTGGACTATATACAGTACACAATCATTGTTACCCATCATGTGTTTTTCTTTGTAAGTCCATTTTTTTTTTCAAAAATAAAAGCAAGGAACTGCAAAAGCACTGGATGAACTGAGTTTCCCAGGTTTCTACGCTGCTTCTAAGCTTTGTTTGAATCTTTTATTTTCATCCTCAGCTGCACCAACCTAAACAGGCTGAGGAACTTTCTGGTTAATACTTTCTTTTATGTTTCATCCTGGTGGCGTCAGCTCTACCACCGAGCTCTAATCTCGTTGCAAATTCCACTGCAGCAGTTCGCCTTTAATCTTTTTTTTATTCAGTAGTTTTAAATCTCTGTGTATATTTGGCAGATGCTTTTCATCTTACGAATTAATGCACTGGTTAAACACGGTGAGATCACATGATAGAGTAAGAAGCTCTGTACAGAGTTGATTGTTGGCATCTTAGTGACTGGGCTCTCTCTGGTTTTAACTTTGAACAAAAAAACAAAAAAAAAAAAAAACCCAACCCCTGTTCTGACCCCAAAACAGGATGTAGCAGAAACATAAGTACAAATTAAACACAATGTAATTCTTTGAAAGAGCACTGTTCTGTCCTTCATTTCACTTTTTTTTTTAAAATTGATTTTGTGTACTCATAACCCAGCGCTTAATATCTGTCAGCAGTGCTCCAGAGTGCTCGAGAGCACGTAAGGTTCTTGTATCATGATGCAAACAGTCGTTGGTAATAAGGTAGCGATTAGGATGTCGGTGAAGTGGAGAGAGGAAGGAGCGGAGAGAGGGGAGGCGTTAATGAGAGCGTAGCTGTATTAACATTTGAAGAAAAGGCAGGCGAAGGAGGCCAGCAGGAGCCACAGTGAGTGGGAAACACAGGCAGAGCCGCTGATGTCTCGACCTGATCCGGGTCCTGCAGGAGAGAGGTGGAGACAAGAGTTCAGTCAGACTTCAAAGAGCCACTGATTTGGAACAAAGCAAATGATACAGATGTTCTGATGAGTCTGGACAAAATAGTTTTTGGCTTTTAGCTTTTATTWAAAAAAAAAATCTGAAGCCTTCTTGCTGTAAAACAACAGCACTTTGAACCACTCTGCACCCCCAATACTCCACTCTGCCCACCACACTCATCTGTTGATGACTTCATATAAAAGAACACATTTAGTCGATACAACCCTAATGTATAAATCTGCAGTTTCATTTTTTGTTGAGTCAGTGATTCATTTACAAGAATGGGATGCGGCCTTCCAAAGTGACTGCAGACAACAAGCAGGTGTTTGGCGCCATCTAGTGGTCATTTGCTGTCATACATCAGTGGTTCCCAATCTATTTTCCTCAAAGCCCACCTTTCCCGTAGCAATAAAAACATATAAGAATACAAGATAATAAATATAAGTGAAGAATTACAAAAATAAAAAAATAGAAGAGCAAAGCAGGGTTTTAATTATTCAAATGGACTTGTTTTGGTGATTTATTGTGATATTATTTGTCTGATTTATTTTTTTATTGAAACAATAAATTGATATTTTCACAACCTCTGAGCAGACAAGGTTAACACCTGTCATGGCTGACTTGTTTTCTTGATCAATGCTTCATAATATGGAAGASTTCAATTACAAGTAGGACCATGGCCTTGAGAGATTCATGCTTTAAGACTGAAGAACTTAAATAGATTTAACTAAAACAACAAACATCTGCATCAGTTTGCAAATGCTGAAATGTTTTTATTTTTTAATTATTTTATAAAGGTTCTTCAAAAACCTTTTGGAACTGCCAATAATATTTGTTTTGCAAAGCAGATAAAATCAACTGTTAATTAAAAACATGGCAAGAACATGACTTTGAGGCTATTTGACTGTAATTGTTTACTCTGAAGTGTTACCAGGTCTGGCAAAGACAAAACTGTTTCTACAGCTGGCTCAGTTGTGGTTTGGTGCTGTCCCACTCATGGACCACTTACAGCAAACCACATCTGGGCCACCAAAGGGCTGTCATTCTTGTGGTTTCTGTGCTGAGTGTTAGTGCATTGTGTGGGCCAGAACTGGGCCAGACAAATTTTGCTATGTGGGATACATCAGAGCCATAGTGTGATGAAGTGATTGAGGTTTGTAGACATTTTGGGTAAAACTGTTTGACTCCTTGAAATTATTAAACGCTGTGTCATTTTCAATATCTACATAAATATTAAAATCCACCACTATTTTTAATTTCATTAGTGTTCAATAAAAAGTCTGAGAATTCAGACAAAAACTAAGAACAAGGGCCTGGTGGAGGATATATGACAAAAAGAAAACTATTCTTTTCTCATTTCCATTTTGCATGAGAAGGGATGAGGGTCAAAGACACAAAATATTTAAACTAATAATTGGTTTTACAATAATCAATAGACCTGCATAAGCAAAGGCGGCTACTGTGCCACATCCACCTGCTGTACATGAAAATGTTAATAACTAGCAGGAGTAGAATAATTTATACTAACAAAATCCTCCCATTTTTTTAAATTCCTGACTAAAATGAGATAAATATTATGTTCAATATTTCACATGCATTGGTTTTATTGATTTTGTTCTGATTAAGTCACTGTTTATTTTTAAAAGCTTTGTATAATTTATGTTTTCTTGAGCTCAGTTTTAGTTAGCTGTTTTTACAGCCACTTGTTACCCCCGTTCCAACGTTTGTTTTATATGTGTTGCTGTTGTTATATTTAAAGTGACTATTTTTCCTAAAAAGGTACAATTTCTTAGTTTATTATATCTCTTTTGTTTCCATTGTAAGAAAATATGGGTTGTGAATCATATTCTGCTTTAATCTCATATCACAACATAGCTCAATGTTCGAACAACAGTTTTGTAAAAAAAGATTTTTGCTGTTTTGACTTGGGACAAGGTTGGCATGCTAAACGGGCTTGGACCCCAGTCATTACTGCTTTGCAGTTCTGATTTAGTTAGGTACTATTCATTAGCTAAGTTCTGCACAAGGTGTGGTTTGTGTGTATTTATTTCCCCATGTGTTTAGTTTCACCTGCTTTTGGATGAAACATAAAAAAAATGTTTTCCTGAAGTGGTTYGCTTTGTTTTGCTGCAGCTTGTGGAGCTCTCAGGGGCTTCACAGAAACAACAGTGTAAATGTGCACATTATTTTATCACAGAGAGAGAAAAAAAGAATGAAACGACTGAGTTTATAGAGCGTGTTTTACTGTTGATCAAACTTCAATCAGCAGAACTGCAGCAGATGTTTTCTTTTCCTCCAGGAGTTTGTGAGAATCATTTAGTTCTTTGTACCACATTTTTATTGTCTCACGGCTTTATARAACCAACTTATTGTAGTTTGAAAAACATTCAGTCATTGCAATCCATTGGAAATTTTTCTTTTTTTTCAGTTGTTGTAATTTGTTGTTAGTGAGCCAAACAGAGCCATCTGTTTGAGCAGCAATTGTCCTGAAATAGTTAGTTTAGGAGAGGAGGCTGCCGCAGCAGTTCCAACCAGTACTGAAACACCAGCTTTGGAAAGCAGCCACAGCTCAAACTGAGCCTGGTTTTGTGTTGCGAAACAACTGTTTGGCCTGTCCTGTGGGGTTTAAGGTGAAATTTTAGGACATCAACAAATAATCAAATGTTTGTCCAACAGAATGATAGATGAATGCTTTGCTCTTCTAAAACATTTATTTCCTGTTGGTTTGTTTTCTTATCAAATATATTCTAAAATAAGCAATCATTCTTGAAAGCAGAAGTGAAATTCAAGAAACTGTCACAACAAGTCCTGGTAAAAAGAAAATATTCTGTCTATATAATCTGTTTGGAGTTTATAATGTTAGAATAAGAAAAAAATAATTTATAAGTGGAAAACCAGAGTCATTTTTTCAGAGTCAGTATAGAGTGAATGAGCCTCATGCAAGAACATGTTCGTATTCTTATCCTAAATTTCTCTTACTTTTGTTCGTACGAAGGGTTTGTACGAACATGCCACGTCAGATTCAACAAACTCTTCTATCTTCAGGAAAAGTGTGTAAATGAGCTGCGTAAATTACACCTGTTCTTATCCAGCTGCTCGTGCACG